ACTTTCTGCTCAGGCATTTTGCACATATGGCTCTCTTTTCGCATTTGCGGACCACTTCTGCGGTCAAAATAACCGCACCTACGGTTTTTCACTTAAGGGCCAACTTTCGCACCTGCGCACCAGGCTTCGCACCTGCGGGATTGCAGGTGCGGTAAATTATCCACTCCTGTGGCTGCCTCCAATCACCTGCGGTCCTTAATTCGCAGGTGCGGAAACAACAGAAGCAGCAAAATCTACAACTCAACTCCAAGTCCAAACTTTTTGACAACCATCCAAAACCATCCCGAGGCCCTCGGGACCTCAACCAAATATGCCAACAAGTTATATATCCCCATTCAAACTCATACCAACCCTCGGAACACTCAAAACAACACTGAAACAACAAATCACCCTTGGATTCAAGTCACTTCAAAATTTCGCAATCGATCAAAACGTCTATCAAACCTCATCCGAGTGACCTGAAATTTTGCACACACGTCCCAAATGACACAACGGCCCTACTCCAATTTTTGAAATTCCATTCCGACCTTGATATCAAATTTTCCACTACTAACCGGAAAACGCCAAAATTCCTATTTCGCCAGTTCAAGCCTAAATCTTCCACGGACCTCCAAAATATATTTCGATCGCGCTCCTAAGTCCCAAATAACCTCACAAAGCTATCCGAACCATAGAAGCCAAGTTACGAGATCATTTACTCACAAGTCAACTTTCGGTTGATTTTTCAAACTAAATATTCCCAAAAAGAGGCTAAGTGTCTCATTTTTCTACAAAACCACTCCGAACCCAAACCAACCAATGCAATACGATGAAATGTAGCTGAACAACACATAAGAAAGTAGAAATATGGAAAACGGAGCAGTAACTCATGAAACGACCAGTCGGGTCGTTACAATGACCATCAATTGACTGTGCCTATTTAGTATGTACTGCTCGAGAGAGAGTACATATTTAGGTAGTTTTTGAACAACATCACTCCTAACATATGTGAGAGATCAATATGGAGGATTTAAAGGCGGGATTAGAGATAACAAAGCCTTGGTACGATCGTAGCGAATGGTGAATTAGTGCCAGCTAGCGTAGTTCGAGAGAATACGTCTAGTAAATTATGGTAGTTGCTCGAGAGAGAGATACAACACCCAAAGTACTCACGATCGGTAGAGAATACATAGGCGATGTTATAGAAGACTTAGCGGGAAGGATTCCGGCAATTGGAAAAATCATAACTCTAGACCTCCTTAATCTTGTCTCCAACTCTTAGTCTCCTTAGCTAATAATTTTACTGCCTGTAATATTTTCTAGTTAATTAGTTTAAAATAAGAATCACAATCTTTATAATTAGGAAATTGTTTGGACTTGTGTTTCTTAGTGATACTGAACAACTGTAGCTAAGTCTTAGTTCTCTGTGGGATTCGACTCCGAACTTGTAAATCGAATTATATTTGCAACAGCCGCTTAGTCCTTTTTATAAGGCATAGTTGAGCGTGATAAATATAGAAACATCTTTCAAAAGGTTTGCGTTATTATCACCTTTTATATAAAATAGTTCCTTGATGGCATATCTATTCACAGACAATGAAAAATTTCATCGCTACTTATAATTAAAAAGACTATTTATGTGTTTAGCCAGGGGCAGCCTAAGGTAAGGCAAATGAAGCTATTTCCTTAGACCCTGAAAATATTAAGGCCCCAATTTACCTTCGTTATAAAATTTAATTTTTTCTCATCTATCTACACTCATATTTTTTTTTTAATTTCTAATAATTTCACTTTCTAATTTTAACTCAAATTTTCTAATTGGCTATTTTTTCACCATATTTATTGATCCATCAATTAGAAAGTAATTTTTTTGTTCATCTTTTTAAGAGAAATCTGCAAATGCAACGGGGCACAAGGTTAGAAACTCGATGGATTATCACCATTGTCCCTACCTTCTTCTACTTAATTAATGCCATACTTTTATTTACACATAGTTTTAAATCGTGACATGCACCTAATTCACACATCACGTATTGTACACTTACCACGACCAAAATCTTAGGTGTTTGCTTTGTATCTCATTATTATACAGATTTTACAAAATAAAATTAATGGCCTTTTAGTCTGTTTTAGATTTAGGACACAAAATTGGTTGAGCCGCCCATGTATTTAGCCCTGAAAAACCAATCAACTTTAATTGTAGGAGGACGAATACAATTAATTAAATAAAATATTTTTCTAACCATTTAAGTTTTTAGATAATATGATCATACAAGTCTAACTCATCCGCACTGTGTTACATAAGTTAGTGCACCCCACATATGATACACATCTTCCAACTATTTAACAAAGAAAACATTTAATTTCTCATGCCTATCTTGCACATCAATTTCATCAATCACTTCCATATCCCAAATGTATAATCTGTCCAATTCCTATAGTTTCAATTCAGGGCCTCACATGATGAATAATAAGCCTATAATTGTTAAAGTGTGGTCTGCTATCTTTGATTTCAATGAAGAGGTTCTACAAACTATACCAATATGGATCAAATATCCTAATCTGCCTTTGAACTGTTGGGAAAATAAGTCACTAAGCAGGATAAGTAGTGACTTGGGAATTCCCCTATATCTTATGCTTGTACTACTCAAGTTGATAGGATCTCCTATGCAAGAGTTTTGGTGGAGATGGATGTTACTATAGAGCTGCCTAGATCCATAAAGGTGACTGATCTAAATGGGAGGGAGTTTGTACAGGAGATAGCATATGATTGGGTCCCTGAATTCTGTAATAAATGTATGCAAGTTGGCCACAAATGCAAATAGATGAGCAGCTAGGACCAAAGCTTAAGGCTAAGAATCTAAAGCATAAACAGGAATGGAAACCTAAACTATACTTAAAGTGCAGGAAGCAGCTGATAAAGAGCAACAAAAGATGACAACTCCTAATATTGAAGGAAATGCTAGCACTAGTACACCAATTGCTAGTGCTAGTGTAAGAGTAATGAAAGGAGATGAAGAACAAGTATGGCAGACAGTTATAGGAAAGTCAGCAGCTAAAAGTAAATAGAGACACTCAGTTGATGTAGTCAATATGCTTAATGGTTTTAATCTCCTCACAGAGTCTAAACTGCAGCTAGCAATGCCAAGGCGAATGGAGGAAGGAACAAGTAGATAACAAGGTAATATTGGTCAGGAAGGGAATGTGCAACCCCTTTTCATACCTGTATGAAGCTTGTAACTTGGAGCATAAGGGGTATAAATAAAATCCCCAGACAAAAAGAGATGGAGTGGTCCATACGCAGTAATAAAGTACATATGATTGCATTATTAGAGCATAAAATAAAGGAGCAGAAGGTCATGCAAATAATAAAGAAAATCACCCCTAGATGGGCATGTTTAGACAACTATGAGTATAGTAGTAAAGGAAGAATATGGTTGCTATAGGATACAAGTGAAATAGACTGCATAGAGTTAGAAAGATCTTCTCAACTTATACACACTTCAGTATATATTAGGAGGCTGGATATAAGGTTCACTTTTACAACTGTTTATGGATTGCATAGTTTGGAAGGTAGAAGAAGCCTATGGAGTGAACTGACAAGTTTACACTCTATACAACAAGGTCCATGGTTGATAATGGGAGACTATAATGCCATCAGATCAGGGAAAGATAGACCAATTGGTAACCCTGTGCAAGAATGGATATTAGAGACTTCAATGAGTTTATTGAAAGCACTGGATTGACAGAAATGAAAACTAGTGAAGGGAGCTTTACATGGACAAATAGGCACACTTATAGCAGAATTGATAGGGCTTTGATTAATGCTGAATGGATGCTGACTATGCCATATTTAGAAGTATGGGTTATGGATCCACATTGCTCTAATCATTCCCCACTGAGTATAGTACTGGAAGAGGATGAGGACCACAGTCCTAAGCCATTCAAATTTCTAAATCAGTTAGCTGAGCATGACGAGTTTATAAAGATAGTAAGTGAAGCATGGGAGAGGCCATAGGAACAGAACAGTACGAGAAATGGTCGGCAGAAATTAAAAAGAGTGAAGCATGCTATGAAGGCTTTAAATAATAATGAGTATAATGTTGTTGGTAATCGAATCAAAATATGCAGACAAAGACTAATTGATATGCAAGAACAAATGAAGGATCCTGGTCAATTTGAGGCTCTAGTAGCAGAAGAAAAATATATGAAACTACAGTTGGAGAAATGGTTAGGGTGGAGGAAAGTATTATGAGACAAAAGTCAAGAGTCAAGTGGTTGAAGCTAGGTGATTCCAGTACAACATATTTCTTTGCAAGTATGAAAAACAGATGCAATCAGAACAAAATCAGGAGATTAGTAAAGGGTAATAGGGAACAGTGCGAGCAAAGCAGGGAATTGAGGAGGAAGTGATAGGTTTCTATCAACAATTATTAAGTACCTCAGAAAATGAGTTGCATGTTATTAATCCAGTAGTCATGAGAGATGGCCCTATGCTGAATAGAGTACAATAACTGCAACTGGTAGCAGAAGTATCAAAGTAGGAGATATATCATGCTCTAAAAAGCATAAGTGACAAGAAAGTCCCTGGTTGTAATGGTTTCAATGCATTATTCTTCAAGAAAGCTTGGCCTGTAATAGGAGATATAATTACAGATGCAGTAATGGAGTTCTTCTCAAGCTCAACTATATACCAACCTATAAATTGTACAACAGTAACACTTGTACCTAAGGTGAAAAATCCTTCTAACAAACTTATATCTAAAGTACTAACTAATAGATTACAAGGAGTGATGGATGGGTTGATGGATAAAAGTCAGTCAGCTTTTGTTCCTAGCAGACTGATAAATGACAACATAATATTTAGCCATGAATTAGTTAAAGAGTATGGCAGGAAAGGTGTTTCTCCTAGATGCATGACGAAAGTAGCCATGAAGAAGGCTAATGATTCAATTGAATGAGGTTATTTAGAGCAGGTGTTGACATATTTGCAGCTCCCAAGGAGATTTGTGCAATAGATTATGAGATGTGTAACAACAGTCTCATATTCCATCATCATTAATGAGCAGCCTACAAGGCCATTTCAAGCTAAGAAAGGACAGAGACAGGGAGATCCCCTATCTCCTTATCAATTTGTATTGGTTATGGAGTATCTGACTAGACTACTGAAGACACTCAAGAGGGATCCTAATTTCAATTACCATCCTAAATGTAAACATAGTGCAGCTGAGTTTTGCTGATGACTTATTGTTGTTCTAATGAGGAGATACTATATCTGTCCAGCTACTGTATCAGTGTTTTCAGGATTTTTCAAAGGCATTAGGTTTTGTGGCTAATGCTGACAAAAGCTCTATATGTTTTGGTGGAGTGCATGAAGACAAGCAACATGAGATTTTACAAATCCTAGGATTTGTAAAAGGGACACTACCAGTCAGATACTTGGGAGTGCACTCAGTTCTAAGAGATTATCATTGGTACAGTGCCAACCTCTAATTGAAAAGATGCTAGGGAGAATTCAATCTTGGACCTCAAGGTTTTTGTCCTATGCAGGAAGAATTCAACTATTAAAAGTGTACTTTTCTCTATCCAAGTGTTCTGGTTCTATGTGTTTCTATTACCAAAGAAGCTGATCCAGTTTATTGAAAGTGTGTGTCGAACATTTCTATGGACTGAAGGTGTGGAAGTATCACAGAAAGCATTATTATCATGGGACAAGTTGTGCCAGCCTAAAGCAGCAGGTGCCCTAAATTTGCTTGATATAGGGGTATAGAATAAGGCAGCTATATGCAAGCTTCTATGGAACCTATGCAAGAAAAAAGATAAGATGTGAGTTCAATGGATACATGTATACTACAAGAAACAGAATTCACTATGGAGCATTGACCCAAAGCAAGCCTCATGGATTGTACAGAAGGTGCTGAAAGCCAAACAATACTTTGAGGAAGCTGGTTGTACAGAGGAGGATGTAGAGGGAATGAGGAAGTTCTCCTTCAAGACCATGTATGTGAAGATTAGAGGTGAATTTGCTAGAGTGTCATGGAGGAAACTGGTATGCAATAATGCTGGGTTGCCAAAGTGGATTTTCACAGTATTTCTGGCTGCACATAGAAGGCTGTTAACTAAAGATAGATTGAGGGGATGAGGCTATGTGGAAGATACAATTTGTGCACTCTGTAACACTGAAAAGGAAACTATTAATCACTTATTTTTTAACTGCTCTTATTCTTCAAGAGTATGGACAACAACGCTACAATGACAAGGTATTCATAGACAAGCGATGGCATGGACAAATGAGATCGAGTGGGCTGAAAGACAATACAAGGGGAGGAGCACAATAACTGAACTATATAAACTAACTCTTGCAGGTAGTCTGTACTATATATGGCAAGAGAGGAATGGTAGAATTTTTCAAGGAAAGCAGCGATCAGCAGCAGTGCTGAGTAAAATAATAACACAAGATGTGCATGGTCGAGGAGCTACTAAGTTGCGACTACAACGAAGATTGATGGAGCTTAACTACTATCCTAATGTGCAGTTAGATGGCATACCTAGTAGTATAGTAGTTAGTCAAGAGGACAGTGAATTGAATGGCTAAAATCTGGGGCTTATGTCAAGATTAAGCTTGAACACAACATTGAAAATGTTACTGGTAAATAAAAGTTTTTTAATTACCAAAAAAAAAAGTTCATTATTTTCATTTTACATTTCAAAATTCCAAAAATATCAACATAGTAAGACTCCGTCTGTCCATACAAAAATGTGTTTGTCCATAAATTTTTGCATTGTTTTTGAAAAAAATTCAAAAATGAGTTTTTTTAAAACCAAAAAGTGGTTTTGACCTCTTTTTCAAAAAATTTAGAAATATTTTTTTGCTCACTCATAAAAATTTACAATATTTCAAGTAAAATACATGTTCAAATATAATTTTAAATTCTAAATACCATTTTTAACTTAATTCCAAATGTTACTTTTTTCATAAATTATAATTTTTATGTCCAAATGCCTACTAAATTTAATTTTGAAAATAGTTGCCGGATAAAGAAAAAAATAGAATGTCCTACTTTAAGAATGCTGGATTTTTTTTCCTTGCTTTTCATGTAAAATGGCATATTAATTTACTAGAAAACCTATCTATCATGAGGTAATTTTTTTTACAAAAGAAAACTAGCTAGGTGACAACAAAGCCCCTGGTTGGAATGGTTTCAATGTAGTATTCTTCAAGAAAGCTTAGCCTGTAATAGGAGATACAATTACAAATGTAGTAATGGAGTTCTTCTCAAGCTCAACTATATACCAACCTATAAATTGTACAACAGTAACACTTGTACGTAAGGTGAAAAATCCTTCTAAATTTACTGAATACATGCCAATATCATGTTGTACACTGCTATACAAACGTATATCTAAAGTACTAACTAATAGATTACAAGGAGTGATGGATGGGTTGATGTATAAAATTCAGTCAGCTTTTGTTCGTATCAGACTGATAAATGATAACATAATACTTAGCCATGAATTAGTTAAAGGGTATGATAGGAAAGGTGTGTTCTCCTAGATGTATGATGAAAGTAGACATGAATAAGGCTTAGGATTCCATAGAATGGGGTTATTTAGAGCAGGTGTTGACATATTTACAGCTCTCAGGGAGATTTGTGCAATGGATCATGAGATGTGTGACAATAGTCTCATACTTCATCATCATTAATGGGAAACCTACAAGGCTATTTCAAGCTAAGAAAGGAATGAGACAGGGAGATCCCCTATCTCCTTATCTATTTGTATTGGCTATGGAGTATCTGACTAGACTACTGAAGACACTCAAAAGGGATCCTATTTCAATTACCACCCTAAATGTGGCAAAATAAACATAGTGCAGTTGAGTTTTGCTGATGACTTATTGATGTTCTGCCGAGGATATACTATATCTGGCCCGCTACTGCATCAGTGTTTTCAGGAGTTTTCAAAGGCATCAGGTTTAGTGGCTAATGCTGACAAAAGCTCTATATTTTTTGGTAGAGTGCATGAAGACAAGCAACAGGAGATTTTACAAGTCCTAGGCTTTGTAAAAGGGACACTACCAGTCAGATACTTGGGAGTGCCACTCAGTTCTAAGAGATTATCAGTGGTACAGTGCCAGCCTCTAATTGAAAAATGATAGGGAGAATTCAGTCTTGGACCTCAAGGTTTCTGTCCTATGCAGGAATAATTCAAATAATTAAATAATTAAGAGTGTACTTTTCTCTATGCAAGTGTTCTGGTCCCAGGTGTTTCTGTTGCCAAAGAAGCTGATCCAGCTTATTGAAAGTGTGTGTCGAACATTTCTATGGACTGAAGGTGTGGAAGTATCACAGAAAGCATTATTATCATGGGACAAGTTGTGCCAGCCTAAAGCAGCAGGTGGTCTAAATTTGCTTGATATAGGGGCATAGAATAAGGCAGCTATATGCAAGCTTCTATGGAACCTATGCAAGAAAAAAGATAAGATGTGAGTTCAATGGATACATGTATACTACAAGAAACAGAATTCACTATGAAGCATTGACCCAAAGCAAGCCTCATGGATTGTACAGAAGGTGCTGAAAGCCAAACAATACTTTGAGGAAGCTGGTTATACAGAGGAGGATGTAGAGGGAATGAGGAAGTTCTCTTTCAAGACCATGTATGTGAAGATTAGAGGTGAATTTGCTAGAGTGTCATGGAGGAAACTGGTATGCAATAATGCTGGGTTGCCAAAGTGAATTTTCACAGTATTTCTGGCTGCACATAAAAGGCTGTTAACTAAAGATAGATTGAGGGGATGTGGCTATGTGGAAGATACAATTTGTGCACTCTGTAACACTGCAAAGGAAACTATTGATCACTTATTTTTTAACTGCTCTTATTCTTCAAGAGTATGAACAACAATGCTACAATGGTAAGGTATTCATAGACAAGCGATGACATGGACAAATGAGATCGAGTGGGCTGAAAGACAATACAAGGGGAGGAGCACAATAGTTGAACTATATAAACTAACTCTTGCAGGCAGTCTGTACTATATATGGCAAGAGAGGAATGGTAGAATTTTTCAAGGAAAGCAGCGATCAGCAGCAGTGCTGAGTAAAATAATAACACAAGATGTGCATGGTCGAGGAGCTACTAAGTTGCGACTACAACGAAGATTGATGGAGCTTAACTACTATCCTAATGTGCAGTTAGATGGCATACCTAGTAGTATAGTAGTTAGTCAAGAGGACAGTGAATTGAATGGCTAAAATCTGGGGCTTATGTCAAGATTAAGCTTGAACACAACATTGAAAATGTTACTGGTAAATAAAAGTTTTTTAATTACCAAAAAAAAAAGTTCATTATTTTCATTTTACATTTCAAAATTCCAAAAATATCAACATAGTAAGACTCCGTCTGTCCATACAAAAATGTGTTTGTCCATAAATTTTTGCATCGTTTTTGAAAAAAATTCAAAAATGAGTTTTTTTAAAACCAAAAAGTGGTTTTGACCTCTTTTTCAAAAAATTTAGAAATATTTTTTTGCTCACTCATAAAAATTTACAATATTTCAAGTAAAATACATGTTCAAATATAATTTTAAATTCTAAATACCATTTTTAACTTAATTCCAAATGTTACTTTTTTCCAAAAATTATAATTTTTATGTCCAAATGCCTACTAAATTTAATTCTGAAAATAGTTGCCGGATAAAGAAAAAAACAGAATGTCCTACTTTATGCATGCTGGCATTTTTTTCTAGCTTTTCATGTAAAATGGCATATTAATTTACTAGAAAGTCTATCTATCATGAGGTAATTTTTTTTTTATAAAGAAAACTAGCTAGCAGTTTATCATGAGGTAATTTTGATTGCTAAAAGTCCACAAGTATTTCTTGTGGACTTCTATGAGACTGCCGCAAACTTTTACATTATTAACCCCAAACTATAGTATTCATTTTTACTCTGTTTTACACATTAAACTCTCGACCTACCATAATCCGAAGGAATGTCAAAATTTACGCTTCAATAAATATACAAGTCCAACTACTTAAAACATATTGCCAATTTACATTTATGAACATTAATTAATAGTCATGCTAACTTGTCATGCATGCATTAAATAATTACGGTTGTTTTAAACACGTCAACGAATATCTTTCCTTTGGGATTTCCTTTAATGGTACTGTCAGAAACGAATAAAATTTTAATTACAAAGGGATTTGTTGTACGTCATTAAAATATTACTCCCTCATATTAATTGTCATGCTTACTATATATATATTTTTTCAAAATAATAGGGTTTAGGGTTAATTAGTATTAAATGCCTTGAAAGTAAAAAACTAGCATAGAAAATTCAAATGGGAGAGTAAAAAACTATTGAAGAGAAATTAATATGTTGAATACTTAAAGATATAAGTAAGGTCGATATTGTAGTAAGAAGCTTATTTATTTATACTTAAAAGACATGTAAAAGAGAAACAAGATAATTAATATGAAGGAGCTAGTAGTACTTCAAAATAAAGTTATTAATAGAAGTATTTATAAAACATGTTTGGAACCGTACGTTTTGCGACCATATATTTATATATGGGTAAAGGGCCGTCTCTCATTTTCAAAATTTATTCACCTTTTTTTTTCCCTCTTTAAAAGGCTAATTTAGCCAAAATTTCAAAACTATATGCAAATAAATTCTTACAATTGTATTAATAACATTATGAGATTAATTTATTTTTTTTACAAATTGTTAAAAAAATTTATAAAAAGAGTTAGTCAAAGTATGAGGAAACCAAATTTGAACAGCAACAAAAAGAAACATTTTGGGACGGGAGAAGTAATACCTTTGACAGTTAAAGAAACAACTGAAACTCAATAATTTTAGTGGAGTGCTTCCCTTTTCTTTTTGGTTTCATTAAATAAAAGATTTCTTGTCCCAAAAAGATAAAAATAATAATAAAAAGACTTGGTATTACTTTCCACAATCAACCATACCAGCGAGGTCCATATGGAAAGTTAGATGTAATTAAATACTTACGGGTGTATGCTTGTCAGAAAGGCTATAATACCCCTACCAGCACTTTCCTTCGTAATACAAAGAAAATTCAAGACATTCCCCCTAAACATACATTCATTAAAAGAGGCATGTACTAAGCTTCTG